CCCGTCCCATTTCCAAAAACCGGAACTGCCGTCACCCGAAAAACACCAGTTACGGCAAACCTGGTATAGTGAATCTGGCCAATTGAGGGGCCCCAGGGCCCTACCATTAACCAGGTCCCCTTACCCGGGGTCCTGGCTGTACCCCAATGATACCAGGGAGAGCTTTGGGATGGATGGGGGAAGAGGACTTGAGGACGAATAGTTACCTCAGAAACTGGTACAGGGAGCAGCGGCAGTGGCAGCTTCAGCGGCAGCGTCCCCAGTCGAGTTGCCGCGCTCGCGCGTGGAGGACGCCAACCGCTTCCATGTGAATTTCGACTGGGAGATCCTTCAGCTCATCCGTGAGACCAGGTGACTGGCTCGGATTTTGGTTCATCCACTTTTCCTGCATCTCCACCCCTCCTCTCACCTGATTTTTCCCTCCAGTTGCTATTTCGGCTCCTCTCCACTTCTCTCGTCCCTCCGTCTCTCTTCCCTCGCATCCTCGTCGTCTTCCTTGTCATGCTCTTCCTCGTCTTCCTTTCTTCGTCCCCGTCACCCCTCACGCTTCGTGCTGCCCTTCCTCCACCAGGCCAGGAGAAAGGAGGAGGAGGAGGAGGAGGAGGAGGGGGAGGAGGACCAGTTCAAACCCAAGACGCACCAACGATGTTGCATACAGCCTCCCCCTAGTTCCCCTTTCACAATGTACTAGACAGTTTCATGTCGTTGCTGGAAGTGCCCCCATGGAAGGCAATCACCTGAGAACGTTTAGTCGTGCCATAACGCACTTCTTGAGTCGCGAGCGCCGCGAATCAACTTGACTCTTGCGCCCTGACAGTCCTAAACCATGCCAGAACATGTTGTCCCGGATTTCAGCACCGGGAAACAAAGTGGCTGATGTGTGTCCTGGTATTCCTGAACCGTGCCAGGCTGCAGTTCCTGCGGCTTCAGTCATACGAGATCATGGCGCTGTTTTGCACAACATCATGGCGAATGTGCACGGCGCTCCTCCATCCTTGAAGTTGCTGCAACCTGTTCAGACAAATGCATGCGGCGCTGAGGTGGCAGCCACATTGTCAAAACGATCAACCCTCCATCCACGAAGCTGTTACAATATTTAAGACGAATGCCCGCTGCGCTAAGGCGAGAGCCACAGTTCGAAAAGGAACCGAACTCCATCCTTGAAAAGATTGCAAACTGCTCAGACACATGTACGCGGCGCTATCGCGATAGCCCCATCTTGGAAAACAAGGATCTGCCCTTCATCCTTGAAGTCGCTGCGAACTTTTAACACGACTGTGCGCGGCGCTGAGGCGATTGCCACATTTTGAAGACCGCCCATCCTCCACCTGTGCAACTGTTGCTCATTCCAAACTTCGTGATCATACATGGTATGTGACTCTCAGGTGAACCCCCTAGCCCGCCCTACTAACACGGCTGGGGGTAAACAGGGAGGGGTTGCGTATTTATAAGGAAAGGGGATAGAGGAAGAGGAAGGATGAAGGAGGGGGGATGGAGGCAGGAAGGTGCGGGAATATGAAGATGAGAAGACAGGGAGGGAGGCATACGAGAAACACCAGAAGACTTAGGGTGAACCAAGAAACCTCTATTTCGGAGTGGGCGTTTAGCCCGCTGTATCCCGAGGGCGTTTCCGTGGCGAAGGTGCCGTTGGGATGAAGCGTCCGCACGAGATGTGCCAGCACTCGGATCACAAGGCCGGGGTGGGGGATTATTAAGAGTTGTGCACCCCGTGAGGGCGCCTGTCAAGAAAGGATCGTGTCGCAGACAGGACAAAGCCCAGGAATAGTTTCCCCCCCCCTCTCCTCCACGGAGGGGGGCGGCATGAGAGGCAGGAGGGGGGACGTTGAGAGGGAGCAGATGGCGGAGGGCCTCTCCGCCTCCTGGAACCCTGCTGAGCTCCCTGCCCTAATTATAGGCCCACCTGGAAACATTGCAGATCCACTTCAGCCTGCTGAATGAATCCTTCCCCTCCCCCTTCCCTCAGAGGCTGCACTCTCTCTCTCTCTCTCTCTCAGTGGAGTGGAGGAGGCGGCGGAGCAGAAGCAGGAGGAGGAGAATCTCTTGGATGCCCGCAGCCTCGGGGGGTCAGAGGCCAACAGCGACAGCGACGAGAGGATCTCTCGCGCGCGCGTCGCACAGCTCCCCGAGGTGCATGGACCGCATGGGCGGCATCGAGATACCCGAGGGCGCCAGGATGGTGCTGCTCCAGGACCCCCCCCTCGCCAACCACTCTTGAGGGCCTCTTGGGCCGTCTCGGGAATTCGGAAGCTCGCAACGGCGAGAGCCCTACATCGCTGATGGTTGCCTCTCGAGGCCTTCTTGGTAAGGCTCTTGGGGCTCTCTTGGGGTTTCTCGACGGCCTCTTGGGCCGTCTCGATGCGATCTTGGGAGTGCGTTCGTGCGGCCGAAGGCTCATCGAGCCGCTGGCCGCGTGCGCGGCTGGCTCCCCTGGCGTGCGGCCTCCTCCGCGGCTGGGCGCCCACCCCCTCGCCCCTCGTGT